ACCTCACCTAAATTAGGGGGAATTCATCCCTGTGCCTATGCAGACACCGATGCAAAGACCGAGAGTTGGGGACCCCAATCTTGGGGTTACCAGGAAATGATTCAACCCCAGAGATTGGACTTGCACCCTGGCTGCAACGACCTTTATGATCTTTGTGGCACTGGGGAACAATTGGCATGTAGGAAAACCTTGGCCATACTTCCTCCTGCCTCTGACTCACTACTTATACCTCTTGAAGGACCACTGGCACCTGCCAAGGAGGCTCTCTGCATTCAGTGCATTCTCCAGTGCAGGCCTTACAGTTCCTTTACACCAGCTTTGTGTTTCCCTCAGTCAGTGGGTCTAAATCAGAGGTGATTTAAAAGGGGAAGAGTGTAAATTACACGTCAGTTAATGAGCTTAAGGAAGCCTACATCAGTATAACACACATGCTGAAGGACCCAGAAGGTGTGCACTTCATCAGTTTAGACTCACTTACTCATTTAGCCTCAGCACTGAATTTGGCCCCAATGTGCTAATGGAGTAAACTGCAGGATCAGCGTCCTAGTTCACAATCAAAAGCATAATAAAACGGGGGGGGGGGGGGGGGGGGGAATCCTGACTACATGGGGAAAAGTAAATTAGACTTTTACTGTTATTCCAGCTTCAGTAATCTAAAGTGATATTAATAACTAGAGCTAGCTGAAAAATGAAAAAGATTGCAAGAAAAACTTTGAAGTTCTTTTTTTTTAAGAATTCAAAATGGACTTTTTTCATTATGTTTTTAATGGTTAAAACAATTTTAAAATAATTTTACAAAAAATGTAAATGAAAAAATGAAACGTAATGCAAAATATTGATATCAACAATTCTGAACAAAAAATTGGTTTAAAAAACCACCATTGTCTATAAAAAGAACTGTAGTTCCAAAAATTCCCTCCAGTTCTGTTATTAATTAACATGGGTAAGATATTATCACATTTTTACATCAGCGATTAGCCAATTTTCAGAGTCCAAAGGAGTCCTTCCGTTAGGAGGCGAAACTGATGATAGTCCGCGGGGGAGGGGTGGTGGTTATACAATCCTATTTATTTTAAAAGAATGTACAAAATCTTTTTTCCCTGAACACAGAAGGAATTAAACAACAGGAGACAGTTTCTTTGCTCACAGTCCCAAGCTCCTTTCCACTCAGCACTCTAACCAAAAGCTCTACCCAAAAGTTCTCTCTTTTAGCTTTTTTTTTCAGAGCCATGCTATCAAGGTTTCTTTGGTTGTGTCTGAGCCTTCTTTATTCCTTCTCTCTGGTTTCTGCAGCTTCTTCCACGCATACACAGCTCCACCACCCAATGCCCCATTTTCTACATCGGTCTCCAGGGAAACCACATGGGCTGCATGGTTCAGTTTCTACTCAAGGCTTGCCATGTGCCTGTGTTTTGGGTGGTGGCTCCGACTCTTACAGCTACTACTGGCTACAAAAAGGAGCTTGATTATTTCTTACATTTTTCAAGAATGATGGGCAGTGGCTATGCCCATCAGCTTCAATGGGGCTCTGCCTAACATAACAGTCTTTTATGGGCTAAATTCCTCCCTGGAGTAACTCAGTTGCCATAAATGGTCATCCGAGATGAAGATGCCTGAAGTCAGAGTGCAATCAGTGGTGCCAGCACAGCCCCCCTCTCCGTGACACGTGCAATCCCTTTCAATAAACTCCACACGCACTGCTGTGCACGGACTGACTCAGGAGCAGACTCATGCCACCATGGGTCTAGAAAGCCAGGTAAAGCCTCAGGCCGGAGTCTGAGCTTATCTACAGTCCCGTAAATCTGGGTCTTCCCAACAAAAAGTGTGGGGTGGTGATGCACATGCAAGGTGCTAGTGACAAAAACTGCAGGGGGAGGGGGGCAGAGAATCACCCACAGAAAGGGTCTAAAAATTAGTGGAAAAATAAAAAGCGGTGCAAGACTCACAGCTTGGCAGGGGCCCCCTATTGCCAGCTACAGACAGCCCAGCCCAGCTGCACCCCCAGCCCCAGGGAACCCTGCACAAGGCATAATACATAAGGCTATGTTTATGTCACCGAGGTCATGGAAGTCATGGAATCCAAATCCGTGACTTCCAGAGACCACTGTGACATTCTCTGCTTCAACCCCAGAGTCTGCAGGACTTTGGAGCTGGCAGCCAGCCGGGCCCTGGGAGGGTTCCAGCAACAGGGGGCCCCCTGTAAGTTTCCAGTGACAGGTAACAGACTCCTGAGGGGGCCCTCCACAGGGTTCGAGCAACTGGCAACAGCCTCGCACCGGGGAAGGGGACACCTCGGGCAAACGGCTGGGTTGTCCTGTTTTCTCTTTGGGAAATCTGGTCACCCTGCAGCTCCCAGCTGCCGTGGATGGAGGGGGAACCCCATGGCTCTCAGCCACCACAGTGGCAGGGGAAACCATGGAGCCACAGCAGCAAAAGTCACAGACAAGTCATGGATTCTGTGAATTTTTGTTTATTCCCCATGACCTGGCCATGACTTTTACTAAAAGTAACCATGACAAAATCTTAGCTTTAATAATGTATAACTAAGGCCCTACCAAATTCATGGTCAATTTTTGCCAGTTTCACAGTCATAGGATTTTAAAAATAATAAATTTCATGGTTTCAGATACTTAAATCTGAAATGTCACAGTGTTGTAACACTGGAGGTCGCAACCCAAAAGGGGGTCTTGGGGTGGGGGGTTGCAAGGCTATTGTAGGGAGGTCACAGTATTGCCACCTGTACTTCTGCACTGTTGCAGATGCTGCCTTCAGAACTGGGCAGGAGGAGAGCAGGGTGGCATGGGTCCTCACTTTTTGGGGAGGGCAGGGCTGGCTTTATGGGTGTGCAACTGCGCAGGACACCATGGTTGGGGATGTGTGTTCCATGGTTGCCCCCACCCCATACACACACACAGCCAGCCCAAGGCCCCTTTAACTCCTGAGCGTCTGAAGCCGGGGAGGGGCAGGGCTAGGAGTGCCCTGGCAAAGGGCTCCTACCATATGCCAGGCTCCAGCTGCTGGTCCTGGCTGGACTGGTGAAGCTTGGGACTTCCTCGTCCCCTGCAGGGACAACTCTCAGGGCCAAGTCAGACCCACCTCCAAGAACCTCTCCTGGATGCAGGAAGCTCTGCAGCTGCTGGCTGAGAGCCCAGCTCTGAAGGTAGTGCTCCCGCGAGCAGCGCTGCAGAAATAAGGGTGTCACGGTATGGCATTGCCACCTTGATGTCTGTGCTGCTGCTGCTACTGCTGGCTGGAGTGCTGCCTTCAGAGCTGGGCTCCCAGCCAGCATCCGGTGCTCTTCAGCTGCCCAGCTTTAAAGGCAGCACAGAAGTAAAGGTGTCAATACAGTGCCCCCCCCCCCACGTGCACACACAACCCACTTTTGCTTTGGGACCCCCAGTTTGAGAAATGCTGGTCTCCCCATGAAATCTTACAGCATAGGATAAAAATACACAAAAACCAGATTTCACAGGGAGATCAGATTGCAGTTTGGGTTGCCGAGTCTCCAGGAATTAAAGCAATTCAATTAAAGATTATGTCACGTTGTCCAGCCAGAAGTAGCACCCTATACATGGTCCGCATTCTTCATGGCCATGAATTTAGTAGGGCCTTATGCAAGGGGCAGCGAGTTTTATCTCCACGTGGTGCTTTAGCACCAGCTATATTCAGAGCCCAGGGGCCCAGCTCCACCAACATTTGGGGCTGGGTGTCCCCCCGACCCCACCTGCCACCTCCCCCCCGCGGCTCCCCCGGCCCCCCTTGCTGCCCCCGGCCACCCGCGCAAGCAGAGCATCCCTGCCTCTGCCTCTTCCATGCTGCCTCCCTGCAGCAACTGCTGCCGCAGGGTCCTAGTGCCCCCCATCTCCTCTGCCAGGGCACACTGACTGAGCCTGCCCTTCCACCTCACACCCTTCCCTTTTCCGGCAGGACCTTCCATCAGCACAAGGTGCCCCTCCGCCCGTAGTCACTGCTCCTGCCCCATGCTGGGCAAGGAGGCAGCCCCATTCCTCACCCTCAGTGAAGCCACAGTCAGGGGCAACAGCAGGGGAGGAGGCGCACGCAGCACCCCCCGGCACCCACCACGGGGCAGGTGAGGGAGATTCCTGGACCTGAGAGGGGGCCCCAGGACCACATGCAGTGACAGTGGTGGGGGTGTGTGTGCTGCTGGGGGGGGCAGGAAATGGGGGCTACTCCCTGAGAGCTCGCTGCTGCCAGCAGGGAAAGGGATGGGGGGGAGTCCTCCTCTCTGGCCTCTGTCCCGGAGCAGCCTGCCTGCACCCCAAACTCATCCCCAGTCCTGCCTCACCCCAGAGCCCACACCCCCAGCTAGAGCTTTCGCCCCCCCACCGCACCCTCAACCCTAGCCCTGAGCTCCTCCAACACCCCAAGCACCTTATCCCCAGTCCCAGCCCGAGCCCTCATCCCCCCGCACCCCAAACCTCTGCCCCAGCCCTGAGCCTCTCTAACCCCCAAGCTCCCCAGCCCCAGACAGAGCCCTCACCCCCTACACCCCTACTCTTGCCCTGAGCCCCTCCCATACCCCAAACCCCTCATCTGCAGCCACAGCCCACACCCCTGCACCCCCTCCCATCCCCAAACTCCCTCCCAGAGCCTTGGGCAGGTGGGGGGCGGCGTTTGGGCAGGGGCGGGCTCTGGGCACCACCAAAATTTCTACAAACCTGCCGCCCCTCCCCCCCCAGGAGCCTCTTCATCCCCCTCAGGGCCTGAGGCTCCTCCAGAGGGGCGGCGGGGGGGGGGGTCTCACAGCCCGGGCACCTGCAGACGCACTAAGGGGCGAGCAGGCCAAGGGCGGGGTGACGCAGGAGGCGACGCCCCGGGACCCGCAGAACGAGGCCGCAGCGCGGCTGCACCCGAGGGGGGGGGGCGGGGCGCGTGGCCCCGGGCAGGGCCGCCCCGCGCGCTGCACGGCGCACCACGTGCCGCGAGCCCAGCGACAGGCGGGGGCGGGGCGATCCAGGTTGCGGGGCCCGGCAGCGCGGCTCGGGCCTAGCGGGATGGAGCCGCAGGAGGCGGCCGGGGCTGCGGCGGGCGGCGGCGGCGGCGCGGGGCTGCTGGAGCTGGAGCTGGAGCTGCCGCGGCGCGGGGCGGGCGAGGCGGGCGCGGTGGCGGCCGAGCTGGAGGCGCGGCGCAGCGGCGAGGCGCGGCGGCTGGTGCTGGCGCGGCGGCTGACGGGCCCGCTGCCCGCGGGGCTGGCGCGCTGGTTCCCGGCGCTGGAGGTGCTGGACGTGAGCGGCACGGGGCTGGCGGCGCTGGGGGCCGAGCTGCTGGGGCTGTCGCGGCTCCGCACCCTGCTGGCCAAGAACAACCGGCTGGGCGGGCCCGGCGCGCTGCCCAAGGGGCTGGGGCAGGCCCCGCTCGCCCGCTCCCTGCGCGTCCTCAACCTCAGCGGCAACCGCTTCGCCGAGCTGCCCGCCGCGCTGCTGGGGCTGCGGGGGCTGCAGAGCCTCAGCCTGGGCGGCAACCGGCTGCACAGCATCCCGCCCGAGATCCAGGCCCTCAGCAGGTGAGAGCCGGGCTGGGGGGCGCCGCCGGCGAGGAGGGGCCCCCTGAGAGCCCCCGGCCGCGGTGTCGGCGCCAGACAGGCCCCCCGAGGGGCAGCGAGGATCCCCGGCCCCGGTTCGGCTCGGGAGTCTCAAGCGCAGGGAGGAGACCCCAGGAGCGCTGGTTCCCCCCCGCCCGGCTCCGGTCCCGGTCCCGGTCCCTGGGCCGCCCTCGGTGCGTTGCCCCTGCCAGCGGCTGCCCCTGCGGGCGTGGCGCGGCTAGGCCAGAAGCTGCCTCTAAAAAGCGTGAGCTGCCCTGCCTTAGCGCCTTCTTCAGACTCCCCTGCTGCCCTTTAACGGGTCAGCCTGGGCAAGGTGTCCCATACGGCCCTGTCAACCGTTGGGAATAGGCCACATTCACCTTGATTGAATTGGCCTCCTTGGCACTGACACCCCCTCCCCCCACCCCACTTGGTAAGGCAACTCCCATCTTTTCATGTGCTGTATGTTTATACCTGCCTACTGTATTTGCACTCCATGCATCTGATGAAGTGCATTATAGTCCATGAAAGCTTATGCCCAAATAAATTTGCTAGTCTCTGAGGTGCCACAAGGACGCCTAGTTGTTTTTGCTGATACAGACTAACCTGTCTACTCCTCTGAAACCTATCGTGAAGACAAGGCCGTTTGTGGTTTTCACGTGAGTTAGCAGGGTCAGGGTAAACCCCGTGTGCCCCCAGAGTCTCTGCCTTATGTGATAGCGACAAATTCCCTTACTGCCTTCACTTGGATTTTACCTCCTGTTAGGTAACTTGAGAGAACACCTATTTTTTCTGGTGAAGTTGTGTCCTGAGAGTATGTCTAGGCTATGGGAAAATATGTGGTTTTAAATGATTGGCTCGCTTGAGCTAGCCCACCCCATTTGAAACACTGTTAATGTAATCTAATTGCATCAAACAATTTAACATTTGTACATCTCTGTTATCTGGTAAATGCTGAATCTAGGAGACAACTTGAGGTAGCTAACTCAATTTAAAAATGCACTTCTTTCTCTCCTATAGCATATTCTAACTAGGTAGACAAAATCACATGAGTGTTTTTTGGTGCTGTATAAGGTTACATGCTACAGTTGTCTAGTCTTGGATGTTAAACATTATGGGTTTCCACTTAATGCTTCAGGTTGGTTATTTTTCCAGTTTTAATCCAACCTCTGATGATTTAACCAGTCTCGTGCTGTTTCCCGGACTGAGAAAGTAGTGAGTGATTGTGTAATGATAACGTTTTTTATTTGGGGAAGAGAGGTTATCTCATTGAAAATAGAGTTGGAGAATGGTGGGGGAATATCCATCTGACATGCAATGTCTCCCTCACTAATCACATTTTCACTTTAATATAGAACTTTAAGTAGCATATTTGTTCTTCTCTTTTCCTCCCGTCTTGTCTGACTTTAGGCTATAATAATAGTTTCATATGTGCAGCCAAAGAACATAAGAACGGCCATACTGGGTCAGGTCAGTGGTCTCTCTAGCCCAGTATCCTGTCTTCCGACAGTGGCCAATGCCAGGTGCTTCAGAGGAAATGAACAGAACAGGCAATCCTCAAGTGATCCATCTGCATTAGGGAAGTGAGTGTTTATTTTTTGCAACATCCACTAATCTTCAAAGAAGAGAAGCAGACATTAAGCATAGCTTGGTATAAGGGAAAGAATTTCTGAGCTCTGCTCTTGGCTAAGGTTTTCTGAGGGATCTAGATCTTCTGCCAGAAGCTTGAGCTGTTTACCTTATGCTGGGTAGGCTGCTGATGTCCATGGGCAAGGTTCAGGAAGATGTGATGTAAATATAGTGAATCATGTGGAAACCCTGTGTCCTCTTACTGGAGTCTCCAATGTGCTTCAGATTTTGAACCTATGTACATCTGAGCAATGACCTCTTACGCAAAAACAAGAACCCGGATGTCTGAGAAAAGTGTATGTGTGAGAGAGTGGGGAGAGAACTGTCAGATCATCTGTAGGTCTTGTCTGTCTAAATTGGTACAGAAACTGATTTAGTTGAATCAGTGCAACTCTTTTGTGTGGTATTTTGGTTTTAAGAGTGCCTTAAAGAATTTATTTATACAAAATCAGTGTAAGGCACTCTTAAAACCAAAATACCACACAAGGGAGTTGCCCTGATTTAATTAAATTGATTTCTGTACTAACCTAGGGCTTGTCTACACTGGCACTTTACAACGCTGCAAATTTCTCGCTCAGGGGTGTGAAAAAACACACCTCCTGAGTGCTGCAAGGTTCGGTGCTGAAAGGGCCAGTGTAGACAGTGCACCAGTGCTGGGAGCTACTCCCCTTGAGGAGGTGGGGTTTTTTTTATAGCGCTGGGAGAGCTGTGACTATACAGCCACGGGGCAGCACTTTAATGTTGCTAGTGAAGACGTGCCCTTAGGTTAAATTGGTACAACTTCCTTACGTTGACAAGGCCTAAATTCTCCCCCATGTCTCTCGCCGTCTGTATACTCACCCCTAATTCTCATTTGGTGAGCTGCTGTATAATTTGGCCATTGAGGGGACTAGGTGCATGTTCCCAACCTATTCAGACTCCTGCGCTAGTTTCAGACTACGATCTCAGTTGTGCCTAGGCTGTGCAATGGAGCTTGGGTTGCTGCAGATTTTAGTTAACAGTCAAGAGTAGCTTACGCTTTGTTAGTGGTGATGCAGTGGGGCCCAGCACAGAAGCTCACTAGAAGCCTAGAATATCAGGCTCCAGTTCAAAATGCCAGTGCTGGTTCGTATACCAATAAGGGAAAATACTGTTCTGTAGCTGTAGAGTTTCACTATTAACAGATACCTGAGTGTTTTTTTGCCTTAGAAAAACTGCCTATTGGTCACAATACAGCAAAAGGTCACTTTTTCTAGTGTAGACCAAGCCTAATAAATATACCCTCAGCTTCCCAAGCTATCTGTAAAGTTAAGTTACTTGTAAATGAAAAATAATCAGGCATGTGCCCTCTCTTGCTACTTCAGTGTGTAAAGAGGACCTGAATGATAGTATGCACCCCCCCCCCAAAGCATTTCTGACTATTTACATTAGAAATAAAGTATGTTCTCACAGAGTCTTTGAAGAACTAATAAGGTCATAACACAGATACCAAGAAGGTAAACAGCTAGTTAGTGCCAGCAAGGTCAATACTGGCCAGTTAGTGTGTGACACGCAGGTATGGATTAGTATTTACCCCACACTCATGTACACTAAGGTACAGTGTGGGCAGCTTGCCCAAAGAGTTAAGTTTTAAGTTTCTGCACCTTGACTTCTTCAGTTATGTTATGAAAACGTTCCCAATCCACTTTAAGTCCTCTGTCAAAAACAACAAAAGCAAGTAGTGCTGAGAAAGAGAAATAAACAGACAAACTAGCTTTACAGACCTTCTGCTTCTTTGGGTTTATGCCCTCTTTTCACTATTCTTTTCCTCACCGGTCACTTTAAAATGTGTCAGCTGTTTCTGATATGTATTGCCCAATTTTGCTGTTTAACTTCTTTCCACAACCCATTATATGGGAGTAAAATAAAAGAAACCCGCACTTTTGCTGCTACTGATTCATGGGTCTTTATATTTCTCATTTGATGAGCCCTGGAGGAGCCATTATTTGCAAACCTGCATGTGTAATATAACTTAGCAGTGCCTCTATTCTAGTGGAGTATCAGAGGGGTAGCCGTGTTAGTCTGGATCCGCAAAAGCGGGAAAGAGTCCGGTGGCACCTTATAGACTATCAAACGTTATGCTCCAATACGTCTGTTAGTCTATAAGGTGCCACAGGACTCTTTGCTGCTATTCTAGTGGAGGCAGAGGTAATATTTTGGGCTTGTATACACGTGAAAATTCATTTGGAATAAGGTAGGATAAGAAATTAGAGTGCTTTAAATATTTCTGAAAAAACTACATATGTGGCTGCTCTTATTCCACAATAAGCGTGCCTTATGCCAAATTATCTTAAACCGCTTTGGAAGTGGTTTAAGCTAATTCAAAATAAGGCAGTGTTGTTCTGGAATAAGAGCACCCACATACGCAGTTACTCCAGAATAGCTATTCCTGACTAACTGCCCTGGAATAGTAACACTTAGTGTGAGGCAGTGCTACTGTGGTTCTGATATATGCACCTGCTTCTTCACAGATGGGTGTCAGAAGAGTGGGGCTCAGTCTTTGTAATGCTACTCAGACTTGCCTCAAAGTCATTACATGACAGGATCTCAGTGGAAATTAACTGCTTAAGTAAACATAACAGTTGGCCTCTTCATTTTTGCTGCTGGGAACCTGAGTGTTCTATCCTTGCAGTTGCATCCGTCTTTAGGTAGTTTAATTCCTCTTCAGTGGGGTTACTCCATATCTACATCAGTGCAAATGAAAGGGGAATCATTATGTTTCTGACCAATTGGACACCAAGAACACTTCAACTAAACTGGTTTTCATCCATTTTCTGAACTTCACTGTTTTCATGCAGCAGTTATTGTTGCCTTTCATATGCCTGATTAACCTCCAACTGTTGAAGCAGTGAGAGAGTGTGAAAGGCTCAAATGAACGTAGTTGGGTCTAACAGAGCAGGCTGCTGAGTAGAGCTGGGTGAATTTTTTTCAGCAAATAGTAACACATCACCAAAATTATTCACCAATTCACATCAGAGTGGTTTCAGCTGAAAAAAACTTTTTTTTAAAAAAATGCTGAAATACTTTGTTTTGACATTGTGTTTAGAAATGAAATGTCACTTTGTTTGACCCAAAGAGGGTTTTTGTTTTGCTTCTCATTTTAGCAAGGAAAAAAGCAAAATAATTCAGTGTTTGGTTTGAAATGAAGCAAAACGTTTGGATTTTTCAGTTTGGCTGCCAAACCGAAAAATCAGTTATTCATTTAGCTCTGCTGTAGAGTCTTCTGTGATGTTAGAGAGCTGTGTGCGTACCCTTTGATGCAATGAGCGCCAAAGTATATGCTCTTTAACATATTTAATACCCAATATCCACTTAAAAAAAAAAAAAAGCCAGGTGCTAAGTGTGTGGGTAGACTTGCAACTGGAGCCGTGGTAAAGATATGATGTTGAGGCAACCCACTAGAATTCCTTTCTTCAAACATTTTACCAATAATTTCAGGAGACTGATCTTAAATTTGTTGCGTCTCAGCAGCAGCTGTGTTGTTCTTTGTAGAATTGCCAAATCCTAGAAAGTGGTGAGCATAAGTGTATTGTCTGATTAAACTCTTACTTCCTCACTCCACTTGTAGACCAGATGGGAAAACTTCTTGTTAAAGTTTGTTTTAGGGAAATTTTGATATCTCATCTGAATTTAGAGTTCTGGGCGGATCTCTCTACTGCCAGCTGTTAAAGATGCTGGCTAGCATAAAACTTGGGCAGTGGGGACAGACATCATTAGTTGTAAAGAAAGGATAGATCCAAATGTTGGAGCGCTTCTACGCTGGGAAACTAAACATTAGAGTATGGCCCTGAGGTATTGTGGTAACAGGATGTTAAACATGAATTAGTACTCAGTGGAGAAAGGAACTGTTGCGTTTAACATAAATCGGTCTGTCTCCATTGAATATTTTATGTGGCATCAGTTATCATGATTTCTCCAGGTCATATTCTAACACATGTGGACAAACCCTTGGAATATTGGTTCATTGAGGTGGAGAAGCAGTGTGGCTTAGTGGATAGAACATTGGCTAGGGTCTCAAAGCTCTAAATTCTGTTCCTGGCTCAGCCACTGGCGTCTAGGACGACCTTAGGCAAATCACTTCACCTCTCTGTGCTTTAGTTAACCCATCATTAAAAGGGGGATAATTAGACTAACTTCCTTTGTAAAGCACTTTAGATCTAGCTGTGAAAGTGGTATCTCAGAAGTAGTCCTTATTTCTCTGAGTAAATATATCATTATTGAGCTCAGCTGAGCATCTCTCTATTCCCTTTCTAAATGCAAAAGCCCTGCCGTGGTAAAATAAAGTACATACTCTGATGCCCCAAGAAGAGTCTAACACAGCTATAACCGAATATCGCACCATACACATAAATGTAGTTACTTATTTAAGCTCAGATCAGGTTCGGTGACCACAGCATATCACCTTGAGCTATCCAGTTACTGTGACAACAGACTGGAAACCCTCTGGCTTCAACAGAGCCATAGTCTTGCTGCATATGCTCATTTGATTTCATTCCATTAGATTCATCAGTTCAGCTTGTGCTGACCTGTTGTTACAAACTTTACTCTTAATAAACCCTTAAGACCTCTAGTTCTCATAACAAGAACTAGGGGTCACCAAATGAAATTAATAGGCAGCAAGTTTAAAACGAACAAAGGAAAATAGTTCTTCACACAACACACAGTTAACCTGTGGAACTCTTTGCCAGAGGATGTTGTGAAGGCCAATACTATAACAGGGTTAAAAAATTAATTAGATAAATTCATGGAGGATAGGTCCATCAATGGCTATTAGCCAGGATGGGCAGGGATGGTGTCCCTAGCCTCTGTTTGCCAGAAACTGGGAATGGACAACGGGATGGATCAGTTGATGATTACCTGTTCTGTTCATTCCCTCTGCAGCACCTGGCATTGGCCACTGTCGGAAGAAAGGATACTGGGCTAGATGGATCTTTGGTCTGACCCAGTATGGCCATTCTTACGTTCTTAATAACTTTTTCAGTAGTGTATCCCTAAAAGAGTGGTGAATCCCATGCTGTAGCTGAGATCAGTGTAGGGAGGGTTAGAGCAATAATTTGAGCCCAAGGTGTACATGGAAAAAAATTAGAAGATCCATGTGATTTTTTGTAAATAGCGGATTATATTTGAGATGTAGCTACCCACACAGCAGATTTCAATACCATCTAAGCTGCCATGTGGATTTTGGAGCACTTAGAGAGTCAACTACTAAGCTGAAAGTGACACTCAACATTAACTATAGCAGAGCTGGTCCACTATCATTTTATTATGGTCGTTGATAATATGTCAACTTTCTCTTCATATGGTATGTCTTACGAAAATTGTTTTATATGCAATGCAAGCTGTAAATCTCTCATAAATTGAATTAGATCCAGCACAAAGTGAAACTGCAGAAATAAGATTAATGAAGTAATGCAGTCTTCTTCTCTTTCAGTTTAGAGTTTTTGTACCTTGGAGGGAATTTCATTACTGCAATCCCACCTGAATTAGCAAACCTGCCTTCTCTAAGTTACCTAGTGCTGTCTGACAACAAGATCCAGAGTATTCCTCCTCAGCTGGCACAGTGAGTATATCCAACTAATTTGCTGTCTTCAGCCACCAGCCAATGCTCAAACCTCTTTATTCTGCAAGCGTGGATGAGAGTACCTGGGAAGATCTGGTTGCTCTTTAGTTCTTAATCACAGGTTAAGTCTGCAGGGGGAGATTCTCAGCACTAGGCAATGCAAGGAGGACTTGTAAATTCTAAATATTGTGAAAGTGAATGTCCATTTTAGGATTTGTTATGGGAGCCATCACCATAGCATCTAAGCACAGACATAGGAAATGTGAAAGCTGAAATGCCAATAGTAAAAATAAATGCCACGCTATACATTTTTCATCCTATTGTGCTCAGTCTCCTTTGCCTTGTACCCAAAATCTTTTCCCAATCTTATTTGCATGATACTCTTCTAGAGCATCTCATTCAAGGATATCAGAATGTTTTAAACATTCACTAAGGTTTACTACACACTTCTGAATGTAAGATTGTTTTATCTACTACAAAACAGAAAAAATCTACACAATAGTTCAAGACAGAAAGTAAAGAATACCCTGTGCAATTGAAACTCCAAGCTAAGGTGATAGAAGCATGGGGTTTTCCAAGTTGGAATTTGATCAGGATAGCAGGGTTTAGCATTACTACTCTTGACATGGGATCTCTGACATCAAGTGTTCAGAACCTTAGTTTTGTTTAATTTGAAAGATGACTCTTCCAGCAGCATGGTGTCCTTGTGTAGTATGAGAAATATTGGTTTGGTGCTGAGGGAAGGGAGAGCTCTACATACAAAACAAATCAATATGTTGGGTCTCCCAGTCACACTCACCTGGTCTGACCTTGCTTAGCTCTTGAGCTCTGACAGGATCTAAGCATGCGGTGATGCAGGTGCAGACAATGTGAGCATGGGGTTTGTCAGAGTTGGCTGACTGCTAGTGTGCTCATCTTTAATACGTGAGTGAGAACAGGTGACCTATTCAGAGCCTTTTGGATACATACCCTTGGTGCAAGGAAACATCCCTCTAAAAAGCATTCTTTTTGTGTAGCACTATTTAGTTCCATACAGTTTTTTTAGGGTGGGTTGGCAGACACATTTAAGACCCTGCTTATTTCTTTAACCTGCATTGAGGAGCTGAGCCAAGTTCTGCATAGGCTAGTCTGTGTGCTAGACAAGCAACTCTGTTAGCATGGCTTTGTGCTTAAAGGAAAAAGCCAAAGGAAACAAGCTAGTGAGAAAGGCAGTAAATGGGTGGTGCTTTGTAATGCTTGTTCCTCTTGACTGTCTTCCTCTTGATTTTTTCAGGTTGCATTCCCTACGTTCCCTTAGCCTTCACAACAACCTGCTGACGTACCTCCCCCGGGAGATCCTCAACCTGGTTCACCTGGAAGAGCTGAGTTTGCGAGGGAACCCACTGGTTGTTCGCTTTGTCCGTGATCTGACTTATAATCCCCCAAGTCTCCTGGAACTAGCTGGACGCACCATGAAAACCCGCAACATTCCCTATGCTCCCAGTGATCTCCCAGGGAACCTTGTCAGATATTTGAGCCTGGCCAGCAACTGCCCCAATCCTAAGTGCGGAGGTAAGTTAGCTGCTCTCTGCTCCCTGTTCTCACCTGCCAGCTCTTCTATTTCTTTCTAACCTAGCTCTCCTTTTAGTAGCTTAATTGCATGTGTTGTCATACCAGTCAGTTCCTCCTGTGAGCATTTCAGTAGCCCCAGGTTTTGTCTTATCCTCTTCCTCAAGGGACTGTGTCACTGCATCTTAACTTGGGCTGTCTCTACCCTAAGCAAGAAAGTCCCTGCAGGGTCATTGATTGCTTAAAATCTTAGTACTGGTTTGCAGCCTCTGCACAGGAGCACAGTTTTTGATAGAACTGTTTCAGCTGGTACGCAAAATGCACTTTTAGAACGATGCAGCTGTACCAACGTGTTCTGGGATTCGTGAAGCACCTATCCCATAGTGTTGAGCACAACTGTCACATGTAACCTGTATGCAAGGGATTTTACAGGCATTGTACAAGACTGGGGAGTTCCAAGCAGTGCTTTTTTTTGCAATGGATTTATTCTAATGCAAATAGTCTATTTCTTAGTCTGTTCCTTAACTACCACTTCTTCGGTCCTGATTCTGTCCACTTCGTACTACTTAATATGACAGCTTCAAAACAGGGAGTGGATGGAGAGGCCAGAGATTGGGTTGCGTTGAGTGGGAGAGGACTTTTTCCTTGCATTTCACACAGCTTAGAGAATGAAAATAGATTGAGTGGTTTCACTTTATCGTGATCTGCAGTTTGCTACTAGAAATGCTGCAGAGGCATAGTTAACTCAAAGGCAACTACAATTTAAAAAAAAAACAAAAAACCCCACACACACCTCTAGAAACATTTCTGAATATGACTGCGTCAGAATAAGAACAATCTCCCTGCAGTAGGAGGAGAACACAACTGTGGCATCATTCTGTTCTGTTCTCATGGAAAATAGCATCCAAATTCAGCATGGTAACTTCACTCAAGCAGAAGAGAAATGGGGTTATGAGGGAGAGAGCTTTTATTTATATATACACACACCTTTGATAACTGTTAGAAGGGGCCTGGTAGACTGGAAAATAGAGCGGGTAAATGGATTTAACATTTAAAGACATGTTTGACAGTCCCCAGCATGACGTTACCTCTGAATTCTTAGAGAAAATTCCTTTTCTGTGGAATGAATTGGCCATTGTTTCTCTCTTCAAATAGTACTTTGCCCTTCTGTAACTCTTTCACCTGGTTTCAGAGTGGTAGCCGTGTTAGTTTGTATCAGCAAAAAGTACAAGGAGTACTTGTGGCACCTTAGAAACTAACCAATGTATTTGAGCATAAGCTTTTGTGGGCTAAAGCTTGGGCCTAGCCCACAAAAGCTTCTGCTCAAATACATTGGTTAGTCTCTAAGGTGCCACAGGTACTCCTTGTTCTTCACCTGGGTATCTCAAGTGCTTTAGAAACATGAATTCTCTCAAACCCCTGGGAGGTAACTGCGAAGTATTATCTCCATTTTACAGGTGGGAAAACTAAGAATTTAAGTCACTGTGTGGCCTTGCAACTCAAGGGAATCAGTGGCAGAGCTGGGAATAGAACACAGATGTCCTGACTTTTGGTGCTCCGCTTCCAGCCACTTTAGCAGCTACTTTGCAAACACTATCCTAGGGTGAGAAAATAGTTGGCAAAATTAGGCAGTGGGGCCACGGTATAAAATGCATGAGATGCAGATACCTGGCAAACTGCTACTTTCTCTGAAAAAATCTGATAAATGTGTTGCCAGAAACCGCACATAAACTGATGCTTTCAGTTTCCACTTCAGCACATAGATATGTTCCTCCCCACTAAAAATTCTTATTTCCATAACCTTTGCTGTTTGAATTAATCCCTAAGATGAGGCAGGTGCATTAGAAATCATGGCTGGCTTGTTCATTTCTGTGGAGCATGCAGGTTTCACAACAAACCATTGAGTCGTTGTTTTAAAAACTGCCTTGCTTTCCTTCCCCTTCCAGGTGTCTACTTCGACAGCTGTGTCCGACAAATCAAATTTGTTGACTTCTGTGGGAAGTACCGCCTGCCGCTGATGCACTATCTGTGCTCCCCAGAATGCTCTTCCCCCTGCAGCTCCGCCTCTCAGAGCTCCACTTCCCAAAGCGAGTCTGACTCAGAGGATGAAGCCATTGTTGCTGCACACAGGATGCAGAAAGTTCTTCTTGGATAAAAGGGAGTGGTGGACTAGAAGAGAAACATGTCACTAAAGCAATAGTGGAAATGCAGAGCCAGAGGCTCTTTCCTGAGGGGCTCATTAGAAACAGTCCTCAAGTCATGTAAGTGGCAGCACATCTGAGCAAATCTAGAATTGCTTGGTGTGATGCTGCTTAGAAGATTTAACTCAATGCCTTGCCTACATGGGGATGTTGTGGGGCTAGAGTTATCACTAAACTACCATGGAGATCTGTGTAAAGGGGGTCAGGGAGAGCAGACCTGCCATGTCTGGGAAGCCTGTCTAAAGGGGTTTTTGATAGCATGACACTTCACTACTATGATTGGCTTTAGCGCTGTATGAAGCAAAGAAGACTGTTCTTGTTCTGGGGTATTACATTATGGTAAATCAGCAAGAGTGTAACTGTGCTATTCTGGGTGTATGGACTCCAATGCTGTATTTATCAGCAAATCTTTCTCGTATCATGCTTCAACACTCTGCGCTCTCCCTTGATTTTCGCTTACATATTTAGATACTTCCCCTCCCCCCCCCCCCCAAAAAAAAATGAAATTTCTTTTTGTTGGGGATGGATTTTTCGAAGATCTGGCTACTGTCTTCCTCTGCTCCAGACTTAAGGTCTACATCTATTGTAGATGTTAGTTTATTACAGCCCCAGTACTGAGCCAGTTTGGTGTTTATCTCCCTTTTTATACAAGGCTGCTGTTAGTCTCTCCTTCTGACTCATCTTTATCACCTCTTTGCAACTGGTGCATCGGTGTCACCATGTTGATTGGGAATACATGCAAAGCATCTCACTGAGCCTTGCCACCTTGCCATACAGATCTACAGCCATATGCCCCTGTCTAAAGAACCAAATCATTGCCCTCCCCTGTACTTTAAACTCATCTGGCCCCAGTGGAGCAAATGTGCTCCTAAACTTGTGTAAATTCCATAGTGCCTCTCACTTGATCTTTCTGTTGTGTCCTCTTATTGAGGATAGCTTCTTTTCACTTTTTACAATATAACTTCACATATTGGAGGCCACGCACTAAGGCTGTCATTGCCTACATTAGGCGTTAAGCAAAATCTCTGTGTGAGAAGTTTATTACATGGTTTCGGCAACTTGTGCCTTGAAAAAACTTACTACTTTCCTTCAGCTGAAATACAGAGTAAGGAACATTGAAGAGCACTATTCTTTCCCTCCATCCCAGTATGAAAAGAGAAGCTGGTAGGAGGAAGTGGAAGGCAAGCCACTTTGAGCATGTTGTGTGGGAGACAAGTTGGTATTGAAGGTGGTTGTATATTTATTAGTTTTGCATTCAGTCTTGTTCATGCAATCCTTTACATTGTTCAGATAGTGTATTCAGTTACCTTAAACTGTATTTAAAGGAAAACTGCAGAGATTAGATATAATTCTGTAGCTAAATATTTAATTGAGAAATACATATATCTTTTAAAGAGTTAATGAAATTGATAGGTTTTTCCATCTCTTTGCCAAAGAGAGCTGATGGTGAGTTTGAGTGCAGGTGGTTAATGTGAACAGTGGGATCACGTTTTTAAAAAAAAAAAAAAAAAAAAAAATATCTACTTGATGTGAAGCAGTTTATACAGTGGCCAATTCTTTTATGTGTATCTCTGTTCAGTAAGAGGCTAGACTTTCAGAAGTCAGTAACAAATATCTTAATGAGTTCTGCAGTGGCCAAGTGCAATTTCTCATGGACTTCTGTCCTGCTCACTGTCTGCTTTTAAAATCTTTGATTGAATTGTATGGGGAGGAATTGGCCTGTTTTTGTTCCTTTCTCCTGTTGGCAGTAATGAATGGAAGGGATTTAATCCACTGAGTAATGAAACTTAATCCCCACAATGCATCTTTGTTACCCAGTTCAAAGAACTGTTTTTAATGCATTTTATACACACCAGGGAGATTTTTTTTTTCTTCTGCTTGAATAGTTCCAAGATACTTCAAATAGACTTCTTCAGGGTGCACTCTAATACAGGAATAACTCCATCTTGGAAACGTCTTGATTTCTTTGTTTTTCTGACGAGAGCATTGGTGATCTTGTACTGAACACTAAAGGATTAAGGGGTTTTAATCCAGCCCTCTTGTGGAATTTTATCATGAGCATTGTGTTGATTTACAAAGTCTTAAAGGTGCCTTACGGTTTTTAAAAGTATATTTTGCTAGAAATATATGAATATAGAATATTTCTAACATTATTTCATTATGAGCTGTAAACTGATTGTAACACTAAGCCAAAAATGTTATTTCTGAAAACTGTCTCTGTCCATTATTTGGTAATATCTCAACTCTAGTGTGGTGAGAAAGGGAGGGTTCCATCACCAGAATCATAGAAATTAGAGATTTTCTCTTTCCCCATAGGATTAGAAAGTAGAACAGTCTCCTGGGGGAAGTAGTAACACTCTTGCCCCTTAGGTCAATTAAAATTAGACTGTAGGCAGGATTGTGTGTATTTCATGAAAATCATTGTAGAATTTTACTGCAGAATCTAGTTTTTTTGTTTGTTTGTTTGTTTTTGAATCTTGACTTAATGTTTCTACAGATAAATATAAAAACACAACCTGATTGTAAACTGAGTTGGTAGTGTTCCTGAGTCTGCCAGCAGCCTGAAACAATAGTGCTAAGAGGTGTGAACTGCCTCATTCATCTCAATGGGGCACTAATGCTGAAACCAAAAGGTGACAATTTAAATATCAGCATAGCTTTCTGCTTCACTGTTCATCATTTTAGAAACGTTCAGTAAATGTGCTTATCCAACAATCCCAAACTGCCTCCTAGGTGTCAGTAGCTTCAGCTACCTCCCTCTTGCTGGCTTTTGCACTGCAGTTAGCAATTGTCAGTACAAAAATATGCCCCATATTGGAAAATGGGACAGTGTAAAACATGGGCGTCTTTTCTGAGTATATTCAATTTCATGTTTAATTATAAACCTCAGTATTTTAAATTGAGCTGCTGCAGACTTTCTCAGGTGCTACAGATTCCACAAAACTTGTCCACTGCACGTAGGTCCAGATTACTGTAGTTTATGTGGGGCTTTGGGCTAAGTCTTCTGCTGTGGTAGAAGAAAGAATAAATCTAGCTTCATGCTGTACCTGATTACCAGGCAGCAGGCATATCTCCCTGACCCCAGCTGCTCGTCTTTCTGGGAGCATGAGCTGTAGCCCTCTTAACTTTTATCCTGGCTGTCACCACTAATACTTTGAGGGCTTTGTATGTGATCCTCAACTGAAATGAATTAGATGACTGCCTGAAGCTGATAAATGTTGGGTGAACTGAATGACAATTTACCTGCTACTACAGAATTGTCAAGACTACATGGCATTTCTCATGTAGGTGAACTGGAAACACTTCCCATACAGACAGGGATTTCCCCCCACTGGGGAGGTGTATACCCCCCCGAACTTCCCCAACACCCCCTAGTTACCTGTTGCCAAATTAGTTGGTTGGAAATTTGAATTGAAATTAAAACATTAATACACACTTTAAAAGTATATGAAGGGCCCTACCAAATTCACAGTCCATTTTGGTCTATTTCATGGTCACAGGATTTTAAAAATTGTAAATTTCATGACTTCAGCTATTTAAATCTGAAATGTCACAGTGTTATAATTTTATCAATTTATAATTGATAAAATTATAACTCCTGACCCAGCAAGGAGTTGGTGGGGGTGGGGGCGCTCACAAGGCTGTTGTACTGGATTTGTGGTACTGCTACCCTTGCTTCTGCGGTGCTGATGGCGGCGGTGCTGCCTTGGAGCTGGGCTGCTGGAGAGCGGCGGCTGCGGGCAGGGAGCCCAGCTCTGAAGGCAGAGCCACCGCCAGCAGCAGTGCAGAAGTAAGGGTGGTATAGTAGGGTATTGCTACCTTTACTTCCACACTGCTGCTGACCGGGGGGCTGCCTTCAGAGCTGTGAGCCTGGGCAACAGCAGCCACTCTGCCCTTGCCCAGCCCTGAAAGCAGCACAGAAGTAAAGATGGCAATACCGTGACCTCCTAAAATAACCTTGTGCGCGCACACCCACACCCACAACACCCTTTTGAGTCAGGACCCACAATTTGAGAAACGCTGGTCTCCCCCATGAAATCTGTATAGTATAAGGTAAAAGCACACCAAACACTAGATTTCACAGGCGGAGACCAGATTTCATGGCTGTGAATTTGGTAGGGCCCTAAGTATATGAGAAAATACTTGTACCTGAGAAAGCATAATGGGTTTGAAAAGTATGAGCAAAGACTAGCTTCCTCATACAGCTGTTGTTTATCACTAGATCAGGGCATTCGTTTTGGCTGTATTTACCTACCTAATAATTTCAAATTATTCTTTGTAAGCAAGGTCTGGATGAGCTCTCCCCTGACAGCTAGTGATGACCCAGAAGTGGGTGGAAGGGCTCAGGACCAGACTATTTACATGAACATACCTACTCTCCCTAGGTATCCAGCAGACAGAGCTATGCTGCCCAAGTGAACAATTTTGGCTGGTATTGGGTTACAAATCATGTTAGTATACGCCATCCAGTCTTAAACCGAACTTCGCACCCCTTGGTAATCTATGTTGTTCCCTGATAACCAGAAACGTCTACGCTTAAACTCTGTACCGTTCACTTTTTTTGTTAAACATCTTAATTAAATGTGGGGGTCATGAAATGTTACCATCCCTTTGTATGAATAAAGGGCAGCAGAACTGTACTGAGCCTGCCTGAAGGAGGGGGGGGTCTCGCTCAGTGCTTAATTTGTGCTAGGGCTTGCCGGGGCTGAGGCTTGGCACCTCTAGGCTTGGCAGTTCATAGCTCTGGGACCTCTGGGCTTATAACATTTAGTTACAAAAGAAACACACTTTCTTGAGCCCTGGCACCTCTTTGTCGTTACAAATAAAGCACTGGTCATCCTCAAGTGCACTCCCTAAGCAGGAGGTTTGGATGCCATATGCTTGAAGAGAGAGAAGAGAGTGGGTGGGGTACAGGTGTTTCCCTTCTTGGCTCTGCATAAGAATCACAGGCACTTATTTGACCTGCCCCTCTCTCCTGTTTAGAGATAGAGATGATTAGGTTCCATAGAGAGCCTTTTGGTTGGTTAAGTGATCACTAGAGCTGAAATTACTGATAATCAGGTCTAAGTACTTAGATCTGCTGGGGGCCAGTGTGTCTGTGGAAGAGAGACCTCCCTGTACTAGTAGCAAGGTTCCCCCACTGAGAGCTGAAATCACTTGAGAGCTGCAGTATCCCCACCAGTTGAGTGGGAAACCGGGGTTCGATTCCCCGACAGGGAGGGTGGTGCCTTTTGACTGTGGGAGAAAGAAATGCCTGGCCTGGGCAGCCTGTTCCTCACCCCCTCCATCTATGGCGACTTCTGTTCACACCCTGCAGTGCTGATTTCCACCTCTAGAGAGACAATTAGCCGCAAGGCCACCTCTGCCTGCTTACCCTAGCAAAAGCCTTTATGTTGCCTTCTGCCACTGGGCCCAGCTTCAAGACCTGCACGTGGGGATACGTTTCAGAGTCACAAAGGGAAATACTCTGGCCAAGGGCATGAGGACAATCGTCCAGCGAAACGGGGTGGCAGCTGATCAAGGGGTGAGGAAGAGAGAAAAGCGGCCAGGCAGCAGGCTGGCCTCCTGTCTTTTTTTCCTTTTGTGACGATTTTAACTGTGACAGTAATGGAGAGACTAGAGAAATACCTGTGGCTGCCCCAAGAGCACAGAGCTGAGCATTTTCCACCCTGCTGTTGGGTCACCCTACTGCTGGCCGTGATCGTATAGTGGTTAATACTCTGACCCGTGGCTGCAGCAACCTGGGCTCGACTCCAAGTCACGGCATTGCTTTTTTGTGGGGGATTGCCTGACACGTGCCTAATGGCTCAACTTGATTGCATCCACTTGCAAAGAGAGCCAGCAGCTGGTGCCTAGTTTCCGCTTGGTAAAGGAAAGTCAATCAGGTAAATCCATCAGGAAAAGAGTAACGGGGAAGAGTAACAGGAATTCTCCCTGGGCACCAAGGTCCAGAAGCAGTCACTGTCCCCGCAACTTCCATTCACGCCCTGCAGTGCTGATTTTCACCTCCAGAGAGACAATTAGCCCGCAAGGCCACCCCTGCCTACTTGCCCTAGCGAAAACCTCTACGTTGCCTTCCGCCACGTGGCCCAGATTCAAGACTTGTACGGTGGGGCCCATGGTATGGTGTAAGCTGACCGTAGCTGGTCTCTTGGAGCTACATGCGCAGTGCGAGGCTCTGCCTTGTTCCTCTTTAGCACAGTGGCCATGCAGGAAGGAATGAAGGGCTGCGCACCTAATTGGTGATTAATCCACTGATTAGGTGCCTCCTGGACCCTGGAGAGAACATGGAGGAAGGTGAGGTGATGGGGGAAATAGGGGAATGTGGGGGGAATAGGGGGTGGGTGAGGGTCAGTGGGGTGAGGTGGGTGTGGAGTTTGGGGCATCCTGACTCCCAGCTGGGCTGCAGCTGCTGTGGAGAGACGGGACTCTCTCCCAGGCTGGGCTGGGAGGAGCAGGCTGCATGGGGAGGTGTAGGGGCAGGGGGGAGGGAGCAGGCTGCACGAGGGGTGGGGTGCCAAGATTTCAGGCATTTTGGGGTATGAGGGGATGTGGCTACATGGAAGGTGGGGTGCTTGTCTGATTAATGCAGGATAGCAAGGGCAGTCCAAGAACATCTTCCCTTTTGTTGTTGTTGAGGTAACTATGAGGCTGGGGTGAGGACAAAGCTGGTATTAATTACCAACTGACTGTTGATATTATTACAAGATCTGAAATATGCCAGGAATAATACGATGGGGAAGGAATAATATGGCACCCCTGCTATTTTCCACTGTTAGAATTAAAGAGCAAACACAAAACTGAATCATCTGCAGTTCTAGACCACAATATTTTTCATCGAGTATCAGCAGGGAAAGTTGGAGAGCTTCCTTTTGGCCATGTTGAGTTTCAGTTGACAGCTGGCGGACATCTTCCAGGAGATGTTAGAAAGACTGGGTTAAGATTTAGTTTGATTGGAGGGAGACAGATCCAGAGCAAGAGAGAAAGAGGGCGGAGGGATTCTGTATTAGCAGATCTTAATGCAGGATCTGACTTGGTGTTTTTTTTATTTTAAAGCATTTTGACTGCTTTTGTAGATAAGTGTTAATAATCTGTACTCTTCCTAGAGTTCTGAGGAGGTTATATGAGTATTTTTAAAGAGTGCAGATTAGGTTGCAGTGAGGTCTTAATAAGTGCAGGATCAGGCTCTAAACTGCTGTCAAGTCCACACAGTGAACAAACTGAAAAAAACACTTTGATCTTTCTGTTGTAGTGATCTTATGGGTAAAGTACAGCAATCCCTGGTTAAAAGAAATAGATCTGTGATTTTATTTTGATTGGTGTGGCTTTAAGAAGCTGCTTTCATGCTATTTACTCCCCCTATGCTATTTACTACTCTCTATGGCTACACTACACAGCTTTTAGCGACATGACTGTGTTGCCATAGCCCTTCCACTAAAAGTTGTGCAGTGTAGCTGCTGTTTGCCAAGTATTAAAGGAGTAGCCGTGTTAGTCTGTATCCACAAAAACAATGCGGAGTCCGGTGGCACTTTAAAGACTAACAGCTTTATTTGGGGATAAACTTTCATGGGTAAAAAAACAATGAAAGCTTATGCCCAAATAAATCTGTTAGTCTTTAAAGTGCCGCCGGATTCCTCACTGTTTTTGCTGTTTGTTGGCTCTCCTGCCAACAAAATACTTCTACCCCCCAAAATGAGTGGCATTCATGTTGTTGGCAGGAGAGTGCTTCTGCCAACAACGCACTGTTCGGACTGGCACTTGTCTGAGACACACAAGTTTTGTCCTTCAATTGCCAGTGTAGACATAGCCTTTAGACACTGATCCTGCAAACAGTTATGCATGGGGAGGACTCCCATGCATAGGTGTTTGCAGGATTGGGGCTTTAGTGAATGAATACTGGAGCAAAAGCATGTGGATAGGCCTAGCTCATGACATTTGCATGGTTACATTTCAAACAAAGTTTACATAGGTGTTAATGGCTTATGGTAAGAAAGAAAAGGATTCTTTTAACAGCATAATTCTTTTGTGGTGTTGTAGATATCTGAAAACTGTGATCTTAATGATTTTTTAAAAAATATCCTGTGTTACTAATTAATACATAGTAAATTGTTAAAACTGGGAGAACTTTACCATGGATGTTGTTTATTTGTTTTCCCTTTCAGTTAGAGTTGGATTCCAGACAAGTAATTTCCATTAAGTTTTAGAATTTGTTTGGGGAGAGGTATTGGAAACCATTACGGCCAGATCTTTGTTATCTAGTATAGGTCTGTTAAAAGAAAAGGAGTACTTATGGCACCTTAGAGACTAACCAATTTATTTGAGCATAAGCTTTCGTGAGCTACAGCTCACTTCATCGTATAGTTCTGGCTCTTCAAAATACTCCTCATGACTCATAAGTAGCAGGCACTAAGTGTGGTGCTAGGTGTTTTGTAGAATGAAGACCTTATTTGCAAGCTCTTTGAAGCAGGGATTTGTCTGCAAACTCCGAAGCCATGTGCTAATGTGCTCCAGGGCTTCAACTCTGAGTTTTTGAGTTGGTGACACACACAATGTGAAACCAGAAAAACTTTGCCTATTTCTAAAAGGCTCTGTTGCACTTGCACAGTGTGGGTCCTCCTAAACACTCATTTAAAATACCCATAACCAACCATTTGATGTTTTACTTCCCTTCATATTTTCAGTGTTGTCATCTGTTTGTTTGTGGTTTTGTTTGCTGTCTGTAAAAAGAAAAGGAGTACTCGTGGCACTTGTGGCATCAGATGCATCCGATGAAGTGAGCTGTAGCTCATGAAAGCTTCTGTTCAAATAAATTGGTTAGTCTCTAAGGTGCCACAAGTACTCCTTTTCTTTTTGCGAATACAGACTAACACGGCTGTTACTCTGAAACTTTGCTGTCTGTGTCACTTTTACTTATTTTTACTGTTCTATGTGTGTCCAGTATTAATCAAATTAAGAGTTGATGTCCCAGAGAAATTGTATAAGCCTGAGTGAATGCCTTTTATTCTCCTTTCCAGGATCAGAAAAGATTGTGATAATATTTGTGGTGAGAGCATGACTATTGCTAGTTGACTCATAGATTTGTTTAGCATCTTAAAGCTGAGCTATGTGTGCAGATAACATGCATGCAAGAGGGATAGTTCTGGGAACTGCAAAAGTCCACAGCATGCTAGTCTTTGGCAGTTGTTTCATTTTGTGAGAGCAGCTTTCCCAGAAGTTAGTGGCCTAGGAGTAGGTTATTAAATTGGGCCTCCGATGCATATTTTTTATACTTTTGCTTAATGCTTAATGAACTTTTGTTTTATTTATATAGTTGTTTTCAGTAGGCCACATTTTGGTGTGTTTACTAGCTTGAGTTGTTAGAAAGGATGATAAAATACATGTACTCCAAGGGCAGTGTTAATTTTCTTTTTATTTGATTTGATATTAAATAAACATCTTAAGCCAGGCACCTTGTTAATTATCCCTTGTTTTAATATTCTTTCTTCTTCTTCCATACCTATGAGCTGTTTAAAAATATATATTATATCTAGGTTTTTTGTTTGTCCTGGTGGCACACATCCGCACAT